CTGCTTTGGTTGCTTGTAGCGCTGCTTTCTACGCAAGGGTGATTTATTGTTAGCTTTTATTCCTAGGATATCGCGGCAGTGGCTTGTTTGTTCGTTTTGCTTCGGCAAAACAGAGAGCACCAATTTGTGCAGGGAGGGAAGGCGGCTGCTGTAATGGAAGTACGAGAGCGTTGGTAACTCTCTTGTTGTCCTGCAATCAAGAATTACCTGGACAGGATCAAATGTGAGATGCTAGGCTCCTAAGAAAGGCAAACAGGGCTTACTGAAGTGCCCTGTCACAGAAAGGGTGGCTAGTGCTAATTCCTCTTGTTTATCCTTTAGTCCCAGGTTGCTGAATATATTCTTCATTTTAATGTTCTTCCTTAGCATTGTGAACAAACACTGGGAGGAATTAAAGCTGTTGATGACTCAGTTTCTTTCTAATCCTAATCCTGACTCTAATGTAATTTTATGCTGTTCTCTGTACCGCAGAGGACCGTGCGAGAGGCTGCGCGTGAGCCCTGCCGGGGCCGCAGGAAAGCTGCTCCCGCTCGAGCCCCCCGTTCGGAGCCTCAAACCGCTGTGCCGATGCTCCGCTGCTGGCAGCCCCCTCTCATAGCATCCAGCTTTGCTGTAATGTGTTCCAAAACGTTGGCTTCGGTTTGATTTACGTCGACGCTGTCAAACGAGAGCTCAGCGCTGAGCGCCGGCTGCATCCGCCCCCACGCCGCGGTGCTGCCGAGGGTCCCGGCCCCGCGGCCCAACGGGGTTCTCTGCCCCGAGGCCTCCGGCAGCAGCAGCATCTGCAGGACAGACCCCAGCCTGCAGCAACACGCGTGCCCGAGCGTCCGAATCCGGGAGTTACGAGGAGGGATCTCCCCTCCGAGCGCGGTCCCAAGGTGGTTCCAACTGGAGGTGCAATATGTTGGACCGTTTGGTTTTAGGAGGATTTCTTCCTCATCCTTGCTGCACTGTGGGAAAGGAGAAAAGGGAACAAAATAAACCTGGCTGGGGTTGTGCTGTTCTCCTTCAGAAAAAGCGAGGACTGTTCTCGCAGGAGGGAGTCAAGCTTTTCTATCTCACAGCTTCGGATATCTTGTACTTTCCATGTATTGCAGGGCCACGAACGCTCTGACGTGCGTCTTAATGCTACATGGGAATGATAAGATTTCTGTTTAGCTATGTTGGTAATATTCATATGAATATCCCATCCTAGTCAAAAGCTATTTAAACTGATGTTATGTTTCAGAACATCAGCAAAAATATTATTTATTTTCTGGTCCATATATTTTAAATAGGTACTATTTTAGCTTTTGTTGCTTGCCTTTTTTAAAAGGAATCTCTCAGTGAGGACTGTAGAGAAAGGCAAAGTCCTGGCTGCATGTGGGGAAAGTGCTAAAGCTTCACCTGCAGAACAGCTGTATTTCTAATCAGCTGCCACCATTTAGGGAGAGAAGGTGATTGGTGTTATCCTTTCCTACAAAGAGGATGCAGAGCCCTCCAAAACTTCGTAACTTGCTTGGTTATAACTGTTTCTAATCCAAAATGGAGCTAATTAGATCAGGGATTCTTGGATGTTGACTTGGGAGATGTTTACTTGAGGTCTGCTGGAAGGTGGATGCTCCCTGTTTGAATTTAGCCCTTAAAGCCCTTTGCTTGCAGCTCCTTGTATGAGGTGGTCGAGATACAGAACGTGCTTCGTGTGATGGGAAAAGTTTAGGAGCTCTCGTATTAATGCTAGACTGCGCTATGTGCTTAGAGCACAAATGAAATGATTCGATGCATGGCTTTAAATAGAAAACAGCATTTTTTAATGCATTTCAGTTGCAGCGGGGACAATACAGTCTTTGTAACAAAGCCTATGGATTTGACTGCTGCTTGCTGTTACCTTTTCTGTTTTGCTCTGCTATCTGAAGGTTATCCAGAGGAGTTATTTACTTCAGCATGTCCCCCCAGGAGGGCACACTCATTTTTTTTGCCTTTAATGTTAAAACTAGTTTAGTTCTGCTCTGTTTAGGAAAAAATTGACAGATTTTCTAGTCCTTGGTAAGTCTCCACGTCCGAGCGGCTCTGCTGGGAGCCACCGCGTGCGGTAACGGACGGGTTTTGCTCAAGCGCTCAGGCGCTTAATTCCCAACTCCGCTTCCCGCAGCCGTCCAAGGCAGCGAACGCTCCAAGTCCCCTGGAGTTGATAACGCCATGGGGCTGGCTCGGCGTCAGGCCCTGCGCGCGGCCCGGGCTTTGAAGCGCGCAGCGGCCAAACGCGAGGCGCTTGGCGGGCTCCATCTTCCCAGGAGAGCGGGGCGGGTTCGGCGCGTGGGCGAACCCCACGCGGAGCTCGCTC